ATGATGCCTGGGTAGAAAATTCACGTATTCATATGATGCCTGGGGAGAAATTTCACGTATTCATATTATGTCTGGGTAGAAACTTCACGCATTCATATGATGCCTGGGTGAAAATTCACGTAATCATATGATGCCTGGGTAGAAAATTCACGTATTCATATGATGCCTGGGTAGAAATTCAGGTATTCATAAGATGCCTGGGTAGAAACTTCACGTATTCATATGATGCCTGGGTAGAAAATCCAGATATTCATATGATGCCTGGGTAGAAAATCCAGATATTCATATGATGCCTGGGTAGAAAATTTAGGTATTCATATGATGCCTGGGTAGGAACTTCACGCATTCATATGATGCCTGGGTAGAAAATTCACGTATTCATATGATGCCTAGGTAGAAAATTCGGGTATTCATATGATGCCTGGGTAGAAAATTCAAGTATTCATATGACGCCTCGGTAGAAAAATCTGGTATTCATATGATGTCTGAGTAGAAAATACAGGTATTCATATGACGCCTCGGTAGAAAATTCTGGTATTCATATGATGCCTGGGTATAAACTTCACGTATTCAAATGATGCCTGGGTAGTAATTTCACGTATTCATATGATGTCTGGGTAGAAACTTCAAGCATTCATGATGCCTGGGTAGAAAATTCACGTAATCATATGATGTCTGGGTAGAAAATTCACGTATTCATATGATGCCTGGGTAGAAACTTCAGGTATTCATATGATGCCTGGGTAGAAAATTCACGTATTCATATGATGTCTGGGTAGAAAATTCAGGTATTCCTATGATGTATGCGTAGAAACTTCACCTATTGATATGATGCCTGTGTAGAAAATTCTGGTGTTCATATGATGACTGGGTAGAAAATTGAGGTGTTCAGATGATGTCTGGGTAGAAACTTCGCGCATTCATATGATGCCTGGGTAGAAAATTCACGTAATTATATGATGTCTGGGTAGAAACTTCACGTATTCATATGATGCCTTGGTAGAAAATCCAGATATTCATATGATGCCTGGGTAGAAAATTTAGGTATTCATATGATGCCTGGGTAGGAACTTCACGCATTCATATGATGCCTGGGTAGAAAATTCACGTATTCATATGATGCCTGGGTAGAAAATTCGGGTATTCATATGACGCCTCGGTAGAAAATTCTGGTATTCATATGATGTCTGAGTAGAAAATACAGGTATTCATATGACGCCTCGGTAGAAAATTCTGGTATTCATATGATGCCTGGGTATAAACTTCACGTATTCAAATGATGCCTGGGTAGTAATTTCACGTATTCATATGATGTCTGGTTAGAAACCTCACGCATTCATGATGCCTGGTGAAAAATTCACGTAATCATATGATGTCTGGGTAGAAACTTCACGTATTCATATGATGCCTGGGTAGAAACTTCAGGTATTCATATGATGTCTGGGTAGAAAATTCACGTATTCATATGATGCCTGGGTAGAAAATTCACGTATTCATATGATGTCTGGGTAGAAAATTCAGGTATTCCTATGATGTATGCGTAGAAACTTCACATATTCATATGATGCCTGTGTAGAAAATTCTGGTGTTCATATGATGACTGGGTAGAAAATTGAGGTATTCAGATGATGTCTGAGTAGAAAATACAGGTATTCATATGACGCCTCGGTAGAAAATTCTGGTATTCATATGATGGCTGGGTATAAACTTCACGTATTCAAATGATGCCTGGGTAGTAATTTCACGTATTCATATGATGTCTGGGTAGAAACTTCACGCATTCATGATGCCTGGGTAGAAAATTCACGTAATCATATGATGTCTGGGTAGAAACTTCACGTATTCATATGATGCCTGGGTAGAAACTTCAGGTATTCATATGATGCCTCATGAAAATTCACGTATTCATATGATGCCTGGGTAGAAAATTCACCTATTCATATGATGTCTGGGTAGAAAATTCAGGTATTCCTATGATGTATGCGTAGAAACTTCACCTATTGATATGATGCCTGGGTAGAAAATTCACGTATTCATATGATGCCTGGGGAGAAATTTCACGTATTCATATTATGTCTGGGTAGAAACTTCACGCATTCATATGATGCCTGGGTAGAAAATTCACGTAATCATATGATGCCTGGGTAGAAAATTCACGTATTCATATGATGCCTGGGTAGAGAATTCAGGTATTCATATGATGTCAAGGTAGAAAATTCACGTATTCATATGATGCCTGGGTAGAAAATTCAGGTATTCATATGATGCCTGGGTAGAAAATTCACGTATTCATATGATATCTGGGTAGAAAATTCAGGTATTCATATGATACCTGCGTAGAAAATTCACGTATTCATATGATGCCTGGTTAGAAAATTCACCTATTCATATGATGTCTGGGTAGAAAATTCACGTATTCATATGATGCCTCGGTAGAAACTTCAGGTATTCATATGATGTCTGGGTAGAAAATTCGGGTATTCATAGGATGTCTGACTAGAAAATTCAGGTATTCATATGATGTCTGACTAGAAAATTCAGGTATTCATATGATGCCTGGGTAGAAACTTCACGTATTCAGATGATGTCTGGGTAGAAACTTCACGTATTCATATGATGCCTGTGTAGAAACTTCACGTATTCATATGATGCCTGAGTAGAACATTCAGATATTCATATGATGCCTGAGTAGAAAATTCGGGTATTCATATGATGTCTGGGTAGAAAATACACGTATTCATATGATGCCCGGGTAGAAAATTCACGTATTCATATGATGCCTGGGTAGAAATTTCACGTATTCATATTATGTCTGGGTAGAAACTTCACGCATTCATATGATGCCTGGGTAGAAAATTAAGGTAATCATATGATGTCTGGGTAGAAAATTCAGGTATTCATATGATGCCTGGGTAGAGAATTCAGGTATTCATATGATGTCTGGGTAGAAAATTCAGGTATTCATATGATGCCTGGGTAGAAAATTCAGGTATTCATATGATGCCTGGGTAGAAAATTCACGTATTCATATGATATCTGGGTAGAAACTTCACGTATTCATATGATGCCTCGGTAGAAACTTCATGTATTCATATGATGTCTGGGTAGAAAATTCACGTATTCATATGATGCCTGGGTAGAAAATTCACGTATTCATATGATGCCTGGGTAGAAAATCCAGATATTCATATGATGCCTGTGTAGAAAATTCAGGTATTCATATGATGTCTGGGTAGAAACTTCACGTATTCATATGATGCCTGGGTAGAAAATTCACGTATTCATATGATGCCTGGGTAGAAAATTCACGTATTCATATGATGTCTGGGTAGAAAATTCAGGTATTCATATGATGCCTGGGTAGAAAATCCAGATATTCATATGATGCCTGGGTTGAAAATTCAGGTATTCATATGATGTCTGGGTAGAAAATTCACGTATTCATATGATGCCTTGGTAGAAAATTCAGGTATTCATATGATGACTGGGTAGAAATTTCACGTATTCATATGATGTCTGGGTAGAAAATTCACGCATTCATGTGATTCCTGGGTAGAAAATTCACGCATTCATATGATTCCTGGGTAGAAAATTCACGTAATCATATGATGCCTGGGTAGAAAATTCACGTATTCATATGATATCTGTGTATAAAATTCAGGTATTCATATGATACCTGCGTAGAAAAATCACGTATTCATATGATGCCTGGTAAGAAAATTCACCTATTCATATGATGTCTGGGTAGAAAATTTACGTATTCATATGATGCCTCGGTAGAAACTTCAGGTATTCATATGATGTCTGGGTAGAAAATTCACGTATTCATATGATGCCTGGGTAGAAAATTCAGGCATTCATATGATGTTTGGGTAGAAAATTCAGGTATTCATATGATGTCTGGGAAGAAAATTCACGTATTCATTTGATGCTGGGGTAGGGCATTCAGGTATTCATTTGATGTTGGGTTAGGACATTAAGGTAGAAATGTCTGATATTCATTTGATTTTAGGGTAGGACATCCAAGTATTCATTTGATGTTGGTATTGAAATGTCTGGTATTCATTTGATGCTGGGATAATACGGCCAGGTCTTCATTTGATGCTGGTGTAGGACAACCAGGTATTTATTTGATACTGGGTTAAAACAGTTAGATGTTCATTTGATTCTGGGGTAGAACATTCAGGTAAACATTTGACGCTGTGTTAGAATAGCCAGGTATTTATTTTCTGTGGTCGATCACTCATGTGCTCCTTTGATGCTGGTACACAGCAGTAATGTTCGGGTAAAACAGTAAGATTGATGCTGGGTAGAATAGTCAGGTATTTATTTAATGCTGAGGTAAAACAGCCAGGTGTTCCATTTGATGCTGAGATAGAACACTAAGATATTCATTTAATGCTGGGCTAGAACAGTCAAGGAGTCATTTGATACTGGGTTAGAAGAGTCAGTTATCCATTTGATATCAGGTAGAACAGTAAGGTTGATGCTGGGTAGAACTGTCAGATGTTCACATGATGCTGAGTTAGAACAGCCAGGTATTCATTTGATTCTGGGGTAGAGATGTCAGGTATTCACATAATGCTAAGGTAGAACAGCCAGCTATTAATTTGATACGAGTGTAAAACAGCCAACTATTCATTTGATACTGTGTTAGAATAATCAGGTATACATTTGATTGTGTGCTAGAACAGATAATCATTTGAATCTATTTTAGAACAGCCGGGTATTTATGTGATTCTGGCGTTGAACAGTCATCTATTCATTTTATGCTGCGTTAGAACAGTCAGTTATTCATTTGGTACTGTGTAGAAGAGTAAGGTTGATGCGGGTATAGAATAGGTAATCATTTTATTCCGGTGTAGAACAATCTGGTTTTTATTTGATGCTGGGATAGAACAGTAAGGAATTCATTTCATGCTGTGGTAGAAAAGTCATGTGTTCATTTGGTGCTGTGTTAAAACAGCCAAGTATTTATTTTATGCGCTAGTGTATCGCTCATGTGCTCCCTTGATGCTGGTGTAGAACAGTCCGTTTTTCATTTGATGCTTAGGTAGGACAGTCAAGTATTCATTGATGCTCAGGTAGGACAGTCAAGTGTTCATTTGATGCTCAGATAGGGCAGTCAAGTATTCATTTGATGCTTAGGTAAGACAGTCAAGTTTTCATTGATGCTCAGGTAGGACAGTCAAGTGTTCATTTGATGCTCAGGTAGGGCAGTCAAGTATTCATTTGATGCTTAGGTAAGACAGTCAAGTTTTCATTGATGCTCAGGTAGGAAAGTCAAGTGTTCATTTGATGCTCAGGTAGGACAGTCAAGTATTCATTGATGCTCAGGTAGGACAGTCAAGTGTTCATTTGATGCTCAGGTAGGACAGTCAAGTATTCATTGATGCTCAGGTAGGACAGTCAAGTGTTCATTTGATGCTCAGGTTGAACAGCCAGGTATTAATTTGATGCTGCGTTGTACAGGTAATTATTCTTTTGAAGCTGGTGTAGAACAGGTATGTTTTTATTTGATGCTGGTATAGAACAGCCAAGTATTCATTTAATGCTCGGGTTGAACAACCAGGTATTCATTTGATGTTTCTGTAAGGCAACCAAGTTTTTCCTTTTGGTGATGGGGTAGAACAGCGGGGTATTAATTTGATGATTGTGTTGAATAGCCAGGTATTTATTTGATGGTAGTGTAGAACAACCAGGTATTTATTTGATGCTGGAGTAGAACAGCCGGGTATTTATCTGATGCTGTGGTTGAACAGCTAGGTTTTAGAGGCTAATATTACTCCTATTACTATTAAAGGTGAGATTGTAACATGTAAAGATATTAGCACTATTGTATATATATTGTAATCTCAATAATCTCACCATTACACTCAGTCTTATGAAAATATACTAGACACCTGCATCCCAGGCAGATGAGTAATATGCTGACAGATTTTGATAAAAGCGACTCATAACTACCCAACTGATTATGGTCAGGTAACTTACAAGCACATCTGTGGTATAGTGAAAGTTATCAAAGCTCTCATGTTTTCTTATTGATTAGAGTCAACAGTGATATAGGGGAGGAAGCTGTGGAGAGACATAATCGCCCAATCATGTATCACGTATGGCACTTAACTGAAAGAGTCAACAGTGATATAGGTGAGGAAGTTGTGGAGAGACATGATCTCCCAAACGTGTATCACGTATGGCACTTAAATGAAAGAGTCGACACTGATTTAGGCGAGGAAGTTGTGGAGAGGCATATACTCCGTATGGCACTTAACTAACGATAAATTAATCTAAGCCATGTTAATTGACTAAAGCTCTTATGGCTTATGAACTTAATTGATTGGACGTGTTAAGTTGTACATGTTTTCTCTTGATCGATTATTATTATTATTGCAATCCATCTTAACCAAGACAAAACATGGGCAATCTAACACCTACAATGATCAGAAGCCATGACAGCCATGCCTGGTGTAGTGTATAGGTGTTTATTATTATTATTATTATTATTATTATTATTATTATTATTATTTCCTTTGATTTCTGTTGTATACACATTTCCTTCCAGGTCCCAACCAGAGACCTAAGGTCAGAAATGGCTTCATGACATTTTCCACCGATCATATGCCAAAAAAAAAAAAAATATATATTACACACATAAATAAAGCTCTTCGAAATGTGTGATCTGTACTTGTGAGTACTTTTTTTTTTATATATTTCTTTAAGTCATGGGCTACCAGGAATTCCTTCAATAAATCTATCAGAAATTTTTCAAATCAATCCGAGGGCTCCAACTCCTACTGAAAATATTGATGTCTTCATATGCCACATTTTCGAGATTTTCACTTCAAGATCCTTGTAATTTGATAGCTTTTTGAATATCTTCAAAGATACAATCTTCAGGGACTGTCATGTCAATATGAAAGCACATTCGCTTTTTGTAATATTTGATCACGATGTCTGGACGATTAGCTTGTGTGCATTGTAAAATCCCATAAAATTGTTACAGTTCCTATCTCTGTAACCGGGTCTGGGTGATGTTCATACCAGTTACTTGCCGTTTCCTTCCCGTAACAGTTTCATATTTTCCAATGCAGATATTGGCCCACTCTGTCATGCTGAGTTTATATTCAGTAGGTACTAACACTGTGTAACCTTATACAAAACGCTCAATTGTTTATGGATATTTATCACAAAATCTGCATTTCGGGTTAACCCAATTTTCCAGTATGTGTGTTTGGCATTTTCTAGGTAACATGCATTGGTCATGTACAGCAAGAATAAAACCTTCGCTTTCAGCTTTTAACCCTACTCTACGTAGCCACTGATGGATAAGGGGTTTGTTTACATCAGCTTGTTTGGTACTTGACCATGAAGAGGTTTATCTTGTCATCGTTTGTGCATTTGGTGAATTGTATTTGCATTTGCATTCTTTTTTAGGTTCATTGCCACTGCAGTAGGTGCATTATGGTTCATTTGCACTTCTTCACCTAATTGCAATTACATTTTCGAATTTGTTGGCTTCCTTTATTACTGAATAAAGTTGTTCTTTCATGTTCTTTGACAAACATCCTCATCCAGTCTTCTGAAGTTTCCATGTATCTTTGAAGAGCGACTGTTGTAGTTTTGTAAGTCATTTCGAGTTGCAATTAATTAATTTTGATTAAGTTTGTTTGATATAAATACTATCACTTACCAAGTTGTTCACCTGAGAAATAAATGAAAGTTAATGAGCCTTTTGTATTGAAAGAGATTTTTCTTAATATGTAAGCAGTACACCTTAAAACAATCTTTTGTCCACCCTGAGTATGACGATAAACTACACCTGACAGTAAGGCCTCTGATCAGGAGGTTTTGAGGAGCGTGGAACCACCACTTAATTACTGTTGTTCACTGGTTTATCCTGACCAGGGGTGGTAGCACCTGTTAGGGTCCCAGCTATAGGAAAATAGTTAACCTCAAACTGGCGTCAAAACACTATGAAAGTGTAAAAATAGGTTTTAATACCAGAAATACTTTTTTGCAAAAATGATTACCAGCAATACATTATTACCAGCAATACATTTTTGAAATAAAAATATTACTAGCAATAGAATTTTAAAGGAAAAAAAAAATATTACCAGCAATATATTTCTGAGGGAAAAATATTACCAGCAATATATTTTTGGGGGAAAAATATTACCAACAATAAAAATCTTGTCGGCATTAAGTAAGCCATTGAGGTAGGTTGATATGCCGTAAAACGAAACAAACAATCTTTTGTATGTCAGATAAAGATGTTTTAAATATTTTCTCACTGTTGGTCTTCATTTTAATAATTACTACTACTATTATTATTATTATTATTATCATTATTATTTATGTATATATTTATTTACTTATTTATTCGCCTTTTAATTTATGTCTTCATTGCTCTCTATTTATCTAAGTATGCCAACATTTGTATCGCTGCAGACGATACTATATATCACTAGGCCATAGTCACCTCGAGGCGGTGTAATGGTTACCAAGCTAGTCTTACTAGGACGATTACGACTGAGTAATGAGTTCGATCCTCACTGGGTGCCCCATACTTTCGGCCTTGTGCCACATCTAAGCTACGCTTGGAAAATCACACAGCGTATAAATTACTCCGTGGAGGGATTTTCAACGCAGGTTTATCATCTCTCAGTTGCGTCACTGTCCTTGGACAGAGTGTGCTCAGGGGCTTCTCTGTCAAAGGACAGAGGGGCAACTGAGAAAATACTGAGAGGTGCTCAGCCCTGTGGAACAGCTGCCTGAGGCCGCGCCCTCCCATTGCACAAGAGGGAGGGATCGGTGCTCGCACCGAGGCCAGCGCAACTGACGGTTGCGGGGGCTGTGGGGAATTTTTGTCCCTTGCCCGTGTGTACGCGCTCAGGTCTCCACTTTAAAACGACCTTGTGTCACATCTCGTCCTCGTGGGGGAACGAGTAAACACCGTAATGGTTACCAAGCTAGTCTCGCTAGAATGATTACAACTGAGTAGTGAGTGCCCCCTACTTTCGGCCTTATGCCACATCTGAACTACGATTGGAAAATCAATATATCACTAGGTCAACCATTATTAATAATCAAACGTTCGTACTTCAGTAGAGGAATACCCATTTCTTTAAGGAACCGGTTCTCTCTTCCTTCTTTTTTACATTCCTAATTATTGGTCGACGGATATAAAGGCTAAGAAAGAACTTGTTCGGCGAATTTGTGTCATTTTAGTGAATGGGTCAGGCGTATTTTAACGAAAACCCTGAACCCGATTTCAAGGTAAATAGGTAAATAGATCAGAATAAACCGCTGGTTGACTTTGTGGGTTTTGGAGAAACTCAAATGGATCTAAGTTGACGGCCATACTCGAAAACAGGAATTTATGCTGAAGCTGGAGAAATCTCATTGGTTTTCAAGTCGAAAAATCTTTCATGATGATTTGAACTCATAAGAATTGATATATATGTTCGTTCAGAATGTGTTTCCTATTAGCTGATTATTTCTCTTCTTGATGAGCGAATGTGCACAGCATTGAATCGAAAAATAAAGAAACTCGAAATGTATTACAATTTAATGAAGTCATCATTATTGTTTGTATTTTCTTGATCAAGTTTTTTTCTATTAGTTTAAGACATAAATAATTTCCGCTTTTGGGAATCGATTTTAATGAAGAATGTAATAATCCATCTGCGTAGCAGTTAAAAATAAATTGGGACTAGAAAAACATAATTTAGATTTTACACGACAGTAGAAACGTACACGGCGGATTCAAGGAAACGATGTCCTCTTCCATGAAAATGCTGGACATTTTACAGCAAAAGTATCACATGAAAACTTTAGGAACTCGGTTGGTCTGTTTTATCCGCCATCTTAATCTGAGCTTGCTTCAGTCGACTATTACTATTTTCCATCGGTGGGGAAAACGTTAATGATTCAAGAGTTCGACGAAAAATGTTTCACCTCAAAACCTGCGGAATTTTACTCGAAAAGTATCGAAAAAAAGCTGCCTGATAAATAACAACGAACCTTTGCAAATGATAGTGAATATAAGTTCCACACGAGCAGCTTCTTCCCACGAACTGCTACTCTGTGGAACCGATACCCAAGAGGATACTCTACAATCTTGTTCAAGTCTCGGGTTAATCTTTCTCACACATCCTTATAACTGCGCCTCGTGTCTTTTACTCTTACTTCCACGCAACAAACTCCTTCAGTAACCCACTATTTCAAGTGGCTCTCGGGCCTAGTATAGGGTGAACAGCAAAATAAATTTAATCAAATAAAATGTAATTGTGCTATTCTTTTAAACAATATGACTCATTTCAATGCAATAGGTGTTCATATATAAAATGTAAATGGTGCAGCCACTCGAATCCATGGATGCCAATCTACGAGGGCGATTAGCTAATCCCCATTGCAGACGCCTGCTCAGGAACATTTGTGTTCGCTCAACAGCCACAGTGCCGACCTATGGTTTATAGTTACAGTTTCTGGGAGAGAGCTCGTCATCTAGCATGATCAACACAGTCTGAACAAGGCCAGCACGTTCAAAACCTCGTTCCCGATGACTATCAACGGCTCACAAGCGTTCCGTCTACCCAATTTTACACCATGGGTTAAATCGTGGTATGTTTTATAGGTAATTTCTTCCAGACCGATAATATCAAGAAGTCATCTTCCTGACAAATCGACGCTCGTGAGATTCGAACCCGGATCTCATGGTCAGAAAGCGAACGTTCTAACCACTCGGCCAAATGCACATACGCACATTTACATAACATCTGATGCGAAAGAAAGGAGACGAGACATTTCGTAATTTTCGGGGGCTTGTTGAAACACCGCATCTCGTACGATCACCGAAGTTAAGCAAAGTCGAGCCTGGTCAGTACCTAATCGAGTGACCGCTTGGGAATGCCAGGTATTGTGAGCGTGGATGTGCGAGTAGTATATAAGCCCTTACGGCCATATGTTAAAACACCGGTTCTCGTACAATCACTGAAGTTAAGGAACGTCGAGACTGGTCATTACTTGGATGGGTGACCTCTTTCGAACACTAGGTGTTGTAAGCTTGGATGTGCGAGTAGTACAAGTGCCTTATAGCCATATCATGTTGAAACACTCGTTCTCGTACGATCACTGAAGTTAAGCAATGTCGAGCCTGCTCAGTACCTAGATGGGTGACCGCTTGGGAATATCAGGTGTTGTAAGCTTGGATGTGATGGTGGTGTAATGGATAATAGCACGGAATTGTTAATCGGAGAGCCGAGTTTCAATTCCGGTTGGGTTCGTTATATTCACTTACGCGCAAATACCATTGGGAAAGGTATGCATCTACCTCTTCTTCCCTCGGATATGGGTTAAATAGTAAGACTTAGTAACACTAAATCATTATCTCTCGACAACAAAAATTCTATTCGTATCTATCTATCTATCTATCTATCTATCTATCTATCTATCTATCTGTCAGAGTCTGTTTATATCTATTTTTTAAACTCATTTCACACAAAGAGGGTAATAAAGTCACTAAGACGCAAGGTGTTACTGGGTGTGAAATAATATAAGAAAAAGAGAAATATTATTTAGGAGAGGAAACGATAAAAAACAGGAATAAGAAAACTGAAGTTAACGATTGCCATCATATTTACATGTTTGAAGATGAAAATTGACTGCAAAATAAGAAGCTGAAATAGACTTCCACAAACGAGATATGCGAGAGAAGAAACTGTCAACATAGAACTTATGGCTACATCTAGCCATTTGATTTGTGATATGATGAGACCTAGCTGCCAATCTAGCACTGAACTGCGCTGAAATTAAACCTATAGGATTATATACAATAAAACCTCGATTTAATGAATATCGTATATCACTTGATTATAGTGAAGGCGTTTTCTTAGAGAGTACACCAAAAAAAGGCTTTTTAGGAAGGACGATTCTAGTACGCGTGTGTGCGGTTACAGCTTAATTTCTTCAAATCTTAGTTCTGTGCCCATTAGCATCGTCATCAAATTTATTTATTGGGTACTTTTTAGATTTCAAGTGTCTGTGGTAATTTTTTTTTTAAATAAGAGTGTTAAGGCTATGTTTTCTTTTCATATGTTGTATTTGCCTTGTTGAATTTTCAAATTTTAAACAACGATAACAAGGAACATTTTACGTGTTTTCTTTCATCGTCCTGGACGTGGGGATAAAGTAAACTAGCAGTATAACCCGACTTCGCCCGGGTGTTTCATTACTGGGAATTTTTGTCATTCATTTGGAGCAGTTTAAGTCAGTTCACCCGAAAATCAATATTAGTAACAACAATTGGGTGCAACTGAGGCACATCCCTAAATGGGGAGAGGGTTAACAAGGCCCGTTGGAACAGTTGGTATGGCGTTTGCTTGATAACGTAACTGTCCAGGTTTCAATTCTTGGTAGTCGATGCGCACTGCTGATGAGACCCAAATTTAGGACGAAACGGCCGTCCAGTGCTTTCCGCATTCTTTTGAGGTTTCTTCTAGACTCGATGAATTACTTAATTTATATATATATATATATATATATATGAGGTGTATTTCGCAATATTTCTCTCAAACTTTAAATAATATGGACAAGTTTTCTCAATTTTTTTTATTTAATTTTTCAAAATTTACGATTTAGGTGTTTTGTGTTATCGGTATATTTTCTAGATCTTATATTTATTTTTATTTTATTTTCTTTCCACTTACTTTCGAATTAGCTTGTACCACGGACTGTTACACTCCGTAACAGGATGCTGGCTCATCGCACTTATGCAGTACCAATCACTGTGCTATTTTGAGCTACACTTGTCACTCTGAAATAAAAACAGAAATTAGCAATTAAATTCTACCACTTTAGGAATTACAATATTTTTTGTTTCATCCAAATCTTATTAATAATTTTCAATAGGGAGTTTCTTTTCACACACCTGGTAGATCACACAACTGTCAATCAAAAAGGACCTTAAAATAAAGGCGTTCTCAATCTTGCAAGGAAGGAACCTATTCTATGAACCGTCATAATAATAATAAAATACGATATAGTCTATTGACTATGCATATTGCCTACCACTTCGACGAGGATCAGTCCATTACGGCTACATGCTAGATTGTCCTAGCTGGTTACAGTAGTCCAAAATCACTTTGCTACTTCGAACAAATATATTCCTTTCCGGGACATATCACGGTCCAAATAGTTCGAGGGAGATAAAACAGATATCTGCAAACCTGTACCTTTATAAGAGCCAGATCCTGCCGAAAATCAAAGTCCTGTTGTAATATTTGGGCGGGAGTTTCCCAGTCCTCGCTTTCCAGTCTCAATAGATTTCAAAAGCTTCCCCGAGTTCTTTTGGGACACTAATTATTCCCCCCCCAACCTTCTCCTTCACAGGCGGGATGTGGCAAGCGTCTTTCTGCTCTATTGCTACTACCATAGAAATTACTCGGACAAACCACCCATATTCCCTCCGTATTCCATCGACGAGAAGTAAGTTCCACTCGAATAACTTCTTCCCGCAAACCACTGCCACGTGGAACCGACTCTCAAGAGGCCGTTTCCCCGATTACTGCAAACTTAACCTCTTCAATTCTACGGTGTCCCACAATTGTAGCTTTGTGTGAGACTATGCTTAATAAATAGCGGTAAAACACATGAGCATTAATTATTAGACTAGCAATATTACTAGACATTAGAAAACAGATGTCTCTTGGAAGATAAGAGTTTGTTAGCTGATCATGTATGTAATGGTAGTAGTATTATTTGCCGCTTACTTATAAGGAGCATTCATTATTCATTGACCACGCAGCCAATGTTAATTTCTTGGACATCGTGTTAGGATCAAAGTGTAGTATCTGTTCTCTGTATTTCTAATAGTAAAAGATTCGATTCCTGTCGGAGGACGCATATTTTCTATGACAATTTCTCGGACATTCAGGCCGGTAAATGTTTGTTAATACTGTTTATTATAAACAGAGCATTTACTTAAATATTTGTATCTATAAAAAAGAATGTATAAACATAAAAAATGTCTTAAAATTTACAACATTAAACTAAATTTAAAACTCATGCAGTGCAATATAAATATGAAAACATTTAATAAATTTCGAATCAATTGGCAAAATTAGCCGAGGTTTTACCAACGATTCCAGTAAACAATCAAATAAATGAATAGTATTTATTGCATTTGTTGTAAATTCTCAAGAATAAAGAATATATATAACTTCACTTTCATATGTTTAGACGTTATATTAACACTAGGATGGCCGAGGTGTCGTTTTCGACACTTTCAAATTTTCAAAAAATTACTATGGAATAACTAGTTTTGGTTCGATGCTGAGGCTTATGGACAATTATTGAATTTTAACAAAGATGCTTAACAGACTTAATTCTTTAAAAAAATGTTCAGTAGAATAGCTGATATTTGAGGTTTTACCTTGAATGGCTGAAATATCGTTTTTGACAACTAGGCTATTTATAGGGTAAATGCATTGAAAAATTTCTCACAAGCAATAATACTTGTGTTTATGCCCCCTATATATCTATTTATCTATCTATCTATACACACACATAATTTATATATATTATATATATTTATATTTATATATATTTATTTATATATATATATATATATATATATATATATATATATATATATATATATAATCACTTTCTTTTCAGTATGAGGTATACTAATATTTGTGAATTTCTTTTCAGACTTGTTATTCCTGACTTGAATATGGCTGCTTCACGGCGTAATGTAAATAAAGATGTCAAAGAAGCTGGCCATCCTAATACTAAGATTCTAATCATCACTTTTAAAACTTTAAACATTACTGAAGACTGAATCTAGTTAAAATAATAGCGGTGTCATAGGAAAAAACGTCCCTTTGACACCCGTTTTTTTTGTTTTTCAAATAGTTGTCTAAAAGTTTTCACAAATATTGTTTAGTATTTGATTTGGAAGAAGATAGAATATATGGTCGTTAATATCCAAGGATTAGATCTACGAATTAGGAAAATGAAAAACAAGCAAGTCCGACAATTTAATGTTTTAGTAAACGACGGAACCTGGGATACAGAAATCCGAAGGCGTATTGGGAGAGCAAAAGATGCCTTCCAAAAGCCAATCAAAGTATTAAGAAACAGGAAAATTTACTTAGAAACAAACAAAAGAGTGTTTAAGTGCTATGTCCATATCAACCCTCCTCCTATATGGTAGTAAATGCTGGAGAATTTCATTATAGAAGGCTTACGGGTACATTACATTAAAAAAACACCGGTTCTCACATGATCAGTCAAGTTAAGCAACGTCGAGCCTGGTCTGTACCTAGATGGGTGTCAGCTTCGGAATATCAGGTGTTGTAATCTTGGATGTGAAGGTGGTGTAATGGATAATGGCTCGGAATTGTTAATCGGAGAGCTGAGTTCCAATTTCTGTTGGGTTCGTTATATTCACTTACGCGCAAATACCATTGGGAAAGGTATGAATCTACCTCTTCTTCCCTTATCTATGGGTTAATTAGTAAGACTTAGTACCACTAAATCATTATCTCCACCCCCACCATAAATTCTAACAATCTAAAGCTATTTTTTGGCTTCAAATATCCTACAAATGGTTGACAAGCGATAGGAAATGAATCAATCAATTCACAGATGATGAGGAGACTCGAGACAACAGAGATATAGGTCTACAGAAGGATACTGAGAATACAATGGACGAAGCATAAAGGCAAAAAGCTTTTATGAAAATAGAAGTAAAATGTACAATTACACATAAAATCAGACAGATAGTTGAAAACTCTGCGACACATAATGAGAAAAGACGGCTTGGAAAATTTGACACTCACAGGACATATCAAAGGCAAGAGGGACAGAAGAAAATAGCGAGTAATCTAGCTAACGAGTTTGTGTAATTGGATGACAAAACAGGAAATGTGAGGGGTAGTAAAAAGTCAAAAATTGCTAAGAGGCACGAAGGACAGGATGTTGTGGAGAGCTATACACGCGTAGGTTTTGACAGGACACGCTACATAAAATAAGTTTGAATTGGGTGAAATACATTAAGTACCTTAAACGCTAATAAATGAAATAAAATAAGTCACGGATTTACTATTGTTGGCGTGATATCACAAGCGGTTGACAGTGAGCTTGATCTTCGTCGAGTTTATAGATGCATTCCTATATCAAAAGTTGGCTTGGTTCAAGAGATGCTTACACATATTCTGTAAGGCAGACAGGTGCGCGCACGCGCGTATACACACGCACACACGTATAAAGACACGCACACACATTTATGCCTGTTGTACATTTGCACAGGAGTTCATACACATATACATAGATACATACATACATATGTAACAACAAAACAAAAAAAAAACAAAAAAAAACAGTTTCGTATGCAAGCCTTTACCAGCGCGCAGCCTTGTCATACGCAGTCACACGCTCGGGCGTACCTGCACGTGGATGTCACCTGATTGCAACCCAGCCCCCTTCTTTCCTGCTCCATTCCGCCTCTTTTTTTTTCCTTCTTTTTCGTTCCTTTCCTTCTCATTTAGCTACTCCCCCCCCTCCTCTTCTTCTTCAAATGTGTCTTTCTTCAAATGTCCATCCTCTTCGGATACTAGAAACGAAATGCATTCTCCACCAGCCATTATTAACTCTTCTTCCCTAATTAGTCTTTAAATATTTATGGCTGTAGGATTTCATCTTTTGATAAGAACTTTTCTTATAACTGTTGACAAATTGTAGCAAAGCGGGGCTTATGGGCCCTGCGGTTTGTGGTCCGGTAACTTTACCCTCTCTCTTTCTTTCTTTCTTTCTTTCTTTCTTTCTTTCTTTCTTTTTTTTTCTCATTCTCCTTTCCGTTTTTTTTTTTTTCACTTCTTCTTCCGTTTCTCCTTCTTTGTCTTCTACTTTTTCTGTTGTCGCTGTCCAAAGAGGTTTGTCCACGTATGTTGCACTAGTTACATAACTACGTTAATGGACCGGTCGTGGATTGCTAGTCGTTTGACAGGCTGAAGCCGGTTTCCGCGTGTCCTTGTCTTCTAGTAGGCCGACCGGTGGGTCGACTGAATGAACGAACGAACAGCATTGGCAATCAGGCAGGGGAGAAGAGAGAAGCGTAAAGAAGCAAAACGAGAGAGAAAGAGAGAAGAACATAGAGATGGGAAATAGGGAAGGAAAAAGAGAAGCAGACAATAAAACAAAGAAAAACGAAAAAGGAGAAGAAAGAAAAGAAAGAAAGAAAGAAAGAAGAAAGACAAAGAAAGAAAAAAATGATGAAAAATGAAAAACGTAGAAAGCAAAGGAAAGAAAGAATGGAACTCAAAGAAAGAAAACATTAAATAAACAAGCAAAGAGAGGAATGAAGGAGAAGAAAAAGAATACGAAAAAGGAAAAGAAGCAAAGAAAGAAGATAAAAAAGAAAGAAAATCTAACGTGGAAAAGAAAAAAAAGTAAAAGAAAAGGAAAACGAAGAAGTGTGAAGGGAAACAGGAAAAGAAAGAAGCAAACAATAAAGCAAACAAAGACGAAAAAGATGAAAGAAAAACAGTAAAAAGAAATAAGCAAAAATGAAGATGTCGAAAACAAAGGAAAGAAAAAAATGGAAACAGAAGAAGTAATAAAGCAAGAAATAATGAACTAAAGAAAGAGGAATGAAAGAGAAGAAAATGAAAAAAGAAAGAGAAATAAGGAAAGAAAGGACAAAAAAGTAAGAGAAACGAAGAGTGAAAAACAAGAACGAAAAAAAAAAAGGAAAAAGAAAATGTTAAAAGCGAGAAGAAATAGAATAAAGCAAGAAGTAAAAAGAAATCAAAGAGAGAAGGAAACAAGAAAAAGAATCAATAAATAAAGAGAACAGAAAAAGAAAGAAAAAAGATTAAAAAAAATGAAGAGGTGAAAAGAAAAGAAAAGTTTGGAACTAAAGAAGATAGAAAGCAACAAAGAAACCAACCAAAGAAAGAAAAATGAAGAAGAAAGAAAATGGAAAAAAAGGAAAAAGCAAGAGAGATAGGGAATCAAATAGAAAAAAAAGTCGAAAGTTAAAAAGTAAGAAAGAAAGAAAGAGAAAAATAAAAACGTAAGTGTGAGAAAAAAAAAGAAAAGAAGAAGAAAATAAACAAAACAATGAGGAACGAAAAAGGAGAAGAAATAAAAAATCGTAGGGATGGAAAATGGGATAAAGAAAGAATAATGGTGGTCAGAATGAAAGGGAAAAGAAAATCACAAAAACGGTATTTTTGCTAAAACAAAATGACGGAAAAGATATGGAAAAAAGAAAGAAATTAGGAAGAGGCATGGAGAAAGAAAGAAAGAAAGAAAGAAAGAAAGAAAGAAAGAAAGAAAAGATAAAAAAATGAAGAGGTGGAAAGAAAAGATTGAAACTGAATAAAAAATGAAAAAAAAAGGAAAAGAAGGAAAGAAAGAGAATCAAAGAGGAAAGAAAGTCGAAAGTTAAAAAGTAAGAAAAGAAAAAAAAAAAGAAAGAGAAAAAAAAAAATGTAAGAGTGAGAGAAAAAAAAAAAGAAAGAAAATAAGCAAAAAACAATGAGAAATGAAAAAGGAGGAGAGATAAAGAAAGAAATGAAAAGAAAACAAGAAAAGAAGAGAAATAGAAAAGAAAGAATAGAAAATGAAGATCTAGAAAGAAAAGGGAAGAAAGAATTGAAGAATAAAACAAAGGGAATTGGAAGGAAAGAAAAGACATGAAGAGAGAAAAGAAAGAAAGAAAGAAAGAAAGAAAGTAACAAGGAAGAAGTAAGAAAGAAAAAGTTAAAAAAAGAAAGCAAAACAACAAAGAACGGAAAAAGAACGAGAGAATGTAAAATGATGAAATAGTAAGAAAAGGAAAGAAAAAATGTGAAAGGAAGAAAGAAAAGGAAAGAATGAAAGCAACAAATCAAATGCACAAAGAGGAACGGAGAAAGAAGGAGAAAGAATGAAGGAAACGGAGAAGGAAAAGATAGAAATATATAGAATAAACAAGGAAACAAGAGAGAAGAAAAAAAATGAAGGCGAGTATGAAATATGAGGAAGTAGATGGAAAAGGAAAGGATAAAATGAAGAAAAATGAATAAAGAAAGAATGAAAAACGCAAAGTGAATTAATAAATTAGATAAAAAATAACTTGGTAAAAAAAATACAAAAATTTAAACTGATAAAGCGAAAAATAAGCAAAAGAAATCTAAAAGTGAAAGAAGAGAAAGAAAAGATACAAGAAAGCAGGAAGGAAAAAATAGAAGAAAGAGAAATAAATTTATTTTACCAAAAAAAATGAAAAGAGAAAATTAAGAAAACTGATCATTTGAAACTGTAAAGAAATCGATGAGAAAAAAAAAAGAAAGAATCAGATGTAATCTCCAAAGATTTGGCAAAGAAATGATAGCATTTAAGAAATAAGAAGAAACGGAGTTGGAAAAGACTGAATTGTAAATTAAGAAAAAGAAGTGGGAGGAAAAAGGTAAGATGTAAAAATATGAAAGTAGCAAAAACAATGGGAAATAAAAAAGAAAATAGACAAAGCATGAAATAAAGAAGATGGGAAGGCAAGAAAGAAAAAAAAAAGACGAAGGTTTAGCGAAAACTACTGGGAAAATCGTAGGGAAGAAAAATGGGATAAAGAAAGAATAATGGTGACAAGAATGTAAGGGAAATGAAAATCACAAAAACGGTATTTTTGCTAAAAAAAACAAAAAAAAACGGAAAAGACATGGAAAAAAAAGAAATTAGGAAGAGGCATGGAGAAAGAAAGAAAGAAAGAAAGAAAGAAAGAAAGAAAGAAAGAAAGAAAAGATAAAAAAATGAAGAGGTGGAAAGAAAAGATTGAAACTGAATAAAAAATGAAAAAAAGGAAAAGAAGGAAAGAAAGAGAATCAAAGAGGAAAGAAAGTCGAAAGTTAAAAAGTAAGAAAGAAAGAAAAAAAGAAAGAGAAAAATAAAAAATGTAAGAGTGAGAGAAAAAAAGAAAAGAAAGAAGAAAATAAGCAAAACAATGAGAAATGAAAAAGGAGGAGAGATAAAGAAAGAAATGAAAAGAAAACAAGAAAAGAAGAGAAATAGAAAAGAAAGAATAGAAAATGAAGATCTAGAAAGAAAAGGGAAGAAAGAATTGAAGAATAAAACAAAGGGAATTGGAAGGAAAGAAAAGACAATAAGAGAGAACAAAAAGAAAGAAATTAGTAAAAGGCACGGAAAAAGAAAGACAGAAAAGGGTAATTTTTTACCTATGGATTGGGTTGAAACTCTCGGGTTCCCCCGCAATAATTTCGACCTTGTATCACAACTCATCTCAATGGGAAGAGTAAGCCGCATCGGTGTCAGGCAGTTTGCTGCCAGATTTGCGACAGACAAGACCTCTATCTTAGAGCAGAGGGTGACAAACCCTCTGTGTTCGGGCAGAGGGTGACAAGCCCTCTATCTTCGAGCAGAGGGTGACAAGCCCTCTATCTTCGAGCAGAGGGTGACAAGCCCTCTGTGTTCGGGCAGAGGGTGATTCAGTTGGGGCTCTCTCTTCGGATAGAAACTCGGTTGAGAAAAACAGACAAGTAATGAACCCGAACTCACTCTCGCGGGGGTTGAGTAAATTTTGACCAATGACCCGAGTGGAAACGCTCAGGTTCCCCACAATAACCACGATCTTGTGTCACAAATCAGTGGGGGGATTGAGTACATATCACTCATATTGGAGTCAGTCTTTATAGTAACTATACAGGCGTTATGGCTAATAGCCTAAGCATTACGTATAGAGAATATTTTAACGAATTACCTTAAACCAATTACGAGTGTGTGTTATAACAATAATCCTATAATAGGAAGTTATAATGACTGGTGACGAGGATACTAGAACACAAAGGCGGGATTAAATTTGCAACAATATAATCGAAGTTAAAATAGTTAATGACGAAGATCTCTAAATCAAGTACCTATATTATAACTGGAGTTATAATAGTGGGCGATCAGACTTTCGAAGCTCATACGTGTGCAACAGGAATTACAAGAATTTCAACTACCTTGGGTTAAAAATTTCTTGCAGATATGGAGAAAATTTTGGCTTCAATTGTTGAAATTCAACAACAACAACAGAAGCAACAACAACAAAATACCCAACATTTGAAAAACAACAAGAGTTGTTGGAAGTGGTTTTGAAGAAAAATGCTTCAACGTCAGACGCGGTGCCAAACACCGTGACTGAATTGATATACAATCCTGATGACAGACTGACTTTTGTTGCGTATTTTCGCAGACATGGAGAAATATTTAGTCAGGAATGTAGCAGCTGGGAAGAAGATAAAAAGCAAGTTGTTGTTGTTAGAAATAATGCCAATAAAGTATGAAAAGTACTGCAATTATAATTTAACCGCAAAAAATCAGGTGAAATAAGGTTTGAAGACACCGTACACATTCTGACAAAAACTTTTAGTGACAATTGCTCTCTGTTGCATGCTCGTTGGAGGTACAAGTTCCTCTCCACTAAAAAAGAGGATGAAGATTTTGTAGCGTGAACAGAGAATGCGAACAATTTAAACTAAAGGAATGACTCCAGATATGTTCAAGGCATTAATTTTCGTGCAAGGTCTAACAGCGAAAAATGATGCTGAAGTACGAACGAAAATTTTAGCAAAGATTGAACATAGTAATAACGTGACACTACAGGTAATAGTGGACAATTACCAAAAAAGTGCTAAGCCAGCATTGGTGAAAGCTAAAGGAATATAAAACCTTGGTTCAGATGTGGAAAATTACATCTTAGGAAAGACTGTTAGGGTAAAATATAGTAATGCTGTAGTAAAAAAAAAGTACATATTAAATCATACTGCAGAACTTAACCAAGAAAAATTACTCTTTTAGGGTAATTTCGCATTTTCTTATCATCTCTCAGGGTCTTCTCTGTCAAAGGACAGAGGGGCAATTGAGGAAAATTATACTGAAGAGGTGCCCAGCCCTGGGGAACAGCTGCCCGAGGCCGCGCCCTCCCATTGCACAAGAGGGAGGGATCGGTGCTCGCACCGAGGCCAGCG